AATTTCACTCAATATGGTACACAGAAGGATTTCTCTCAAGCTGTCTCCCCCAAATATACGCCAGACTTAGCTGCTTGAGAATATCTATACACTTGGAGGTCATCAAGAATAGATCAGGGGTCATTCTCCCTAAGAGCTATCAGCCATCTAGACCAAGCAGACACCATTGTTTATCCCACAACAAGTAGGGCCCACTCCCTCCTGATAAGGATAGTAGTTGTCTGTTTCCTTGTAGGAGACACCAGAGAGGTCAAAACTCGCCCAAGGATGACCAAGGTTTAGCTGCCATCATGAGTCTAGGGTCTGCCCATCTTGTCACATGTCTACCCCTAGACCTTCCCATTCCTATGGGCACACCCCTAGTTCATCCCCTTCCTGTTACACTTATGCCTATCATACATCCCCTTCCTACAATGTGTATTCTTATTGTTACTGCCCCTTCCTATGATGTGTGGTTACCTGTAATCATGTCTCCCTAATAAGATATAACCCTTGGTTAGCAATGAAGTGGAGGCTCTCCCTGGTCCCCGCTCCCGAAGGCTCTCCTGCTCTCACTCCTGAGGCTCTCTTGGCTGGGCTCCCCCCACGAGGACCACCAAGAGGGACTGAGGTGAGCATGCTACCATGAAATGTGTCTGACTCCATTATTTGACTCTCTCCTCTACCTCTCATGCTCTCTATGATTTTACTCTAATCTTTACTTATTATCACGTACAATTGCACCTACCAGACCTGTGATGATTTGTAGGGGACCCCTCTCCTTAACCCCACAACTCAACATAATGTTTTCCAGGTCCTTCCATGTCATGAGGTATTTGTTATTTTTTTTAAAGGGATGTATAGTAGTTTATTACGGGAGCCCAGTGGAATGGTTCACTACAGATTATTATGTGAACACAAGTAAGCCTCTGGTTACCCTGCTTACTGGCAATTTGCTAATGTGGCCTAGGAAAACTTATGGGACCGTTTTATCCTGTTCTATAGGCAACCCATGAATCAGAATCCACTTGATGGCAATCAATTTATCAGGGTTGTTCAAGGAGCCCTGTTGGCATAGTTGACTGAAATGGCATAGTTGACTACAAGGTCAGCAGCTCAACCTACCAGGGACTCTGAAGGAGAAAAAAAGATTTATACTAAAAAAAAAAAAAATAAATTTATACTTTACATCCTCCGAAATTCTAGGGAGTTCTACTCTGCTCTATTGGGTCTCTATGAGTCAGAATCAACTAGCTGCCAGTGGGGTCATGTATCTGAAGATGTATCTGCTTGCCTAAAGATCACAGCCTTATGCCTGGCTATCAGAAAGAATAGTGTCTGGGGTGTTAAAGGCTTTTATTCAAACAAGCAGTGACCTAAGTGAGGCATCAACAAAGTCCACATGGAAAAAACACACTAGCCTGTGTGATCCAAGGATTGTAATAATAAAATCCAAATCTGAAGGAGGGTGTGTTAGTCCGGGTTGACTAGAGAAACAAGTCTAGAGACACTCATAGGTGTGTAAGACAGAGTTTTATATCAGAGAGCAATTGCAAATTGAGAAAGCATCCCAGCCCAATTCATATCAAGTCCATAAGTCTATTAGCCCCTATGTCCAATAGTAGACCATAAATTCCTGTTTACTCATGCAGCACATACAATGATGCCAAATGCAGAAGATCACAGGCTGGTGGGTAGAAAGTCTTGTGGAAGCATCTCAATGCTGGTGTGGGTCTCCACACTGCTCCTCTAGCTCTTTGAGTGTCTCAAGACAGCAAGAATGAGGCCAACAGAGAGTGTGTGGTCTGCCTCTTCTGATGGAAAAATCACGAGAGAGAGAACGTTCCCAGAATTCTCATGAGGCCACGCCCACAGAGGCATCAGTGGCTACCTGATTGACAGGCTAAACTCCACCCCTTCACTCATAATACCCTTAGGTGGACAGGAGATTATGTAACTCCCACAGAGGGTATGGACTTAAATTGTGAACACCCAATTTGCAGAAGCCTATTAATGACCATGGAAGCCCAAATTCCATTTGCTGGGTCGCCACATGGGTTAACCACTGGTGAATTCTCTCTGACAACGAACATTGTAAAGTTTATTGGGACAGATATAATTACATTAAAATGTAATCCCTTATCATTTGATAACCCCTTTGACCCATCTTAATGTTTTCCCCGCTTTTTAATTATTTTCAGCTTTCTGATTTCAGCTTTTGTTTTGTCTACTCATTATTGTTGATTTTAAAAAATCATTTTATTGGGGGTTCTTACAGCTCTTATAACAAAGCATACATTAATAGTATCCATCACATTTGTGCATGTTGCCATCATCATTTTCGAAGCATTTCCTTTCTACTTGAACCCTTAGTATCAGCTCTTTTTTCCTTCCCTCCCCCTTGTTGAATTTTGTTGTTTGCTTCCTGTTTGCCCTCTGTATGACTTTCTGTGTATGAAATCCAGGATAAATAAATCTATACAGTATAGAGATGGTAACTAGATTAATACTTACCTAGGGGTGGATGGGGGGGAGGGGATTGTGGAGCTAACAAGTACATAAGAAAATGTTCTGAAATTGATTATTGGGATAATTACACAACTCCTCCTAATATGATTTAGTGATTAAATTGATAAGATGTTTGAAGTGTATGTCAATAAAACTATTGAAAAACATAAAGATCACAGTCTTTGAAACCCACAGGGTAGTTCTACTCTTCCCTATAGGGTCAGTGGGTCAGAATAGACTCGAAAGCAAGGGACAACTTTGTTGTTGTTGTTGTTGTTGTTGGACGATCACTGAGTGGGGAGTCTCTAAAAGGTAAAGAACAATATATGTTAACTAGTCACAAAACTTTACCATCTATTGCCTACTGGCCATGAACTACACATCAACCCTTTATGTGTACTTCATAAGAACAATCTCGAAAAGGAGACCTGGCATTGGCAGGGGTCACTCCTTCAAGAAGGGGGAGAAGGGTGAAGACCATCCAGTTGATGTATAGAACATTGAGACAAGGCTGAGACAAATCAACAGGGCCTCCACAGGAATGAGAGGAGAACCTTACTGGAAAACCAAGCTAAGACCAGGGAAGTGGAGCACCTACATTTCAGAGGAGGCACTGATATTTCTGTTAGTGGGGATGGTGGGTCAATGGGGAGGAGCAGGCTCACATTGGGAAGGGACACTAAACAGTAATAGTAGGGAACCTAAGGGATGAGTAAATTAAGTTCTTTGTTCCTGGGTAGACAGTTTGAATGTTTTTACCCAACCTCGGTGAACTCTGCCATGGTTTAAGTAATATGGTGACCTTAGATGCTGACCTTACAGGGTATATGGCCTCCCCCAAGGGCCATACCAGGACTTGGGGTGGAAGCCAACTGAACAAACTGGGCCCTAACTCAAAACTACCTGTACCCTTGGACTTAGGACTGAAATGCTCTAATGGGAGAGGAAGCAAAGGATGGCCACCACATGAATGTGGAATTGGTGGTCCTGGGCCCTTGGGTGGGACCCCTGGCTTAGTGGGTGTCCCATAAAAGGGGACCAAGAACCACTATATATTTACTACCTCAATACTCCCTGTGCATTAGTATGACAGGTATTAATCTGATAGGCAAGGATCTGCACTGATAAGAAATGGTACAGGGACCTTTTCCCCAGCACCAACCCCCAGCTCAATGTAAACAGAGCTCAATTAAGAAATCAATCTGTACAAAGCAACAATTTATGAATTACAGCCCGAAGTTAGACTACAATTGCATAAACTCTTCATATCAATAGTACCTTAAATTCTATGCCATTGGATAAATTATTGATGTTAACAGTGCAGTCGCCTTACCCCAGGGGGATGATTGACAATGTTTTTCTTTTTTGGTTTTCTGCCTCTTGTGTGGTGGAATAATTTGGATATCAATATTAGATACCAAAAAAGGATATCAATAATGGTTGTATAATCAATGGCACTGAATTATACAAGTAGAAGTTATTGGAAGTTGAGTGTTTTGTTGTGTATTATTTTTGCCACAATTAAAAAATAATTACACACACAAACTTTACTATCTAGAGAAGGGCTGTGAGGTGTACACAAACCAAGCCCACTGCCACGGAGTCCATTGGACTCACAGCGATCCTACAGGGACTGTCCCTGTGGGTTCCCGAAACCGTAAAGGCAGGAGGAAAGCGCCTCGTTTTCTCCCCCGGAGCCGCGGGCGGGTGGTTTTAAACTGTCGACTGCAATCGGCAGCCTCCGCCACCAAGCTCCTAATCTCATGACAAGATGCATTTTTTGCCTCAGCCGCTCAGCGTTCAAGAGGTGTATAAACTCCAACCCTTCACTCCAACCAAAAAGAACCGAACAAGCCCTGCTTCGCGTCTTTATTACCCAGAAAAGTCACGCAGGTGCACGACGCTCGAGTCCTTTGTGGGGATCGCCTCTGTGCGCGGCGCGTCCGGGGCAGGCTGGGCTGGGGCGCAGCTCTCGGCGGCTCCCCGCGGCCGCCGGCTCCGAGAGCACCGTCCCCTCGGCACGCCGGGCGGGCCGGGGCCTCCCGCGTCCAGACCGAGTGGCACGCGCGGCTCGGGAAGGCGAGGTCAACCAGGAGAACGCTCGGCTCCGCCTGCGGCCCCCGCCTGCAGGCCTCTTTCCCCGAGCGGCCGGCTTCGAGCCCTCAGGGACACAGACCCGGCAGGCCGCGGCCACCGGCCACCCTCTCGAAAGCAGAAGCTCCGACAGCCCCGCAGGACCCTCCGGGCCGCGGTCCCCGCCCCGCGGCGCCCACCGCCCTCCCGGCACGCCCTCTCCGTGCAGCGCGGACTACATTTCCCCGAGGCCCTGTGGCCGCAGAAGGCGGGCCCTGGCGCCGGCTCCCTGAGAGGCGACTGATTTCCCGGTGTCGGGAGAGGGAGGGGCTTTCTGGAGCCAATAGGCGCGGTGCTCGTTACGGCGGCGGAAGCAGCGAAGCTGGACTGGGGGTGGGGGACAGAGTGCTAGCTCTCTGGCGGCGGCGGCGCCTGTGGCAGCGGGTCCAGCGCTAGCCCACGTCGGCCCCAGAGGCGGAGAGCGCACGGGAGGGTGCTCGAGGCGGCGTGGCGGCCATTCGGCGCAGACACCCAGGTAATGGCGGGACGGGCGCCCGGGAGGCGAGGGGAGGAGACGAGGGGGCGGGGCGGGGCAGCCGGTCCGGGCTGCAGCCTCTTTTTCCAGGAAAGAGCAGCCTTGCCTCTCTGCTTGCAGCTTGAATTCGGGCTCTTTCACCAGCTGGGCACTGCAGCTGGGCCGGCGACAGAGCCCCCGCGTCCCAGTAGAAGGAAGAGATGGGCTCCCGAGAGGGCTGTGCTGACCAGTGGGGGCGTGGCAGGCTCGGGCCTGGGCGGAGAAGTGGAAGAGTTGCACCAGCCAGCAGGCGGCCCGGGAGTTTGGCTCCTGGAGCTGTTTAAAGTGACTCTCCACATCCGGGCCCTGCGCCCGCCGCTTTCAGGCCCCGGCGAGGCGGGGCCTGCCCACTCCCCGCCCAGTCACTAGGAGCTCTTGTCTTCCTCGCTATTGGCTGTGGATCCAGAGGGTTGGGGAGGGAGGAGGGTCCCGAGCAAGGCTCGATCCTGATTGGCTGGCGGTCGGTGGGAGGTGGGACGGGATCGGAGCGCGCCAGCCACTGGATTGGGGCGGGCCTTGGAATCAAGTGTTTGGCGTGGGGCCTGTGGGTGAGCGGGTAAGATAGAGACAGGCTCAGGTGAAGGAAACTAGGATCTGAGCGGCTGCTCATTGAGTGGATGAGAGAGACCTAAGGGCTGGACATCAACGGGCCCACGACATGCCCCTTGGGCCGGCCTTTCATTACTACCCACACCTAAAGAGATTAAAGCGGGAGGTATGGGTGGCAGCTGCAGGTAAAGGGGTAGGCAAGCCGTCCTAAAGCTTGTAGCAAGCTTCCTAGCAAGACAGCCTCGAAGTCCCTGGAAACCTGTTTAATCTCAGCGATGGACTTTCAGGTGGCATGGGGTTAGTGGGCCAATGGGGGAAAATCATCAGTTTGCAAAGCAGGGGGAAGACTTTAAAAAAGAGACTGATCGTCTCTGGACCCTCTGGCTTAGTGGAGGAATGTGAAAGGGGGGAAAAATCTGTCAATGAGGCTTTTGCAAATAGAGCACAAGAGAATTCCTTTTGAATTAGGTCTTGATATGTTTCCTGATCATCTCTTAGGAAAAGCCATACCTCTCTGAAATTTAATGTGACATATTGACTGTACTTCTGCTCACTTTAGTGTGAAGTTTAAATATTTCACAGAGACGTCTCATTCTCCATAAAACATGACCCAGATAAATACATTCATATTGGGTTAGTACCTGCCAAGTGAGTGGAGTACAGGATTCGATATTGATTTTTCAACATAGCAATTCACAAGGATCTATGGAGGGTCATAGTATGTCACAGCACTATATAAGCAGTTTCATTAATTGAACCTGTTACATTAAAAACTTAAAGAACTTAATTTTTCTGTACTGTATATTGATGATAAGTACTTTTTTAGAGAATGATTTATCTCTAGAGCATCATAATTTAAGGGAAGATATTGTGGGTACTAGAGATGCTTTAGATCAGCAGTTCTAAACCTGTGGGTCGAGACTCCTTTGGGGGTCAAACGACTTTATCACCTAAGACCATCGGAAAACACATAAATATTTCACAATATATAATTACATATTGTTCTGTGATTAATCACTATACTTTAATTATGTTTAATTATGTTCAATTTGTAACAATGAAAATACATCCTGCATATCAGATGTTTACATTATAATTCATAACAGTAGCAAAATTACAGTTATGAAGTAGCAATGAAATTAATTTTATGGTTAAGGGTCACCACAACATGAGGGTTGTGGCATTAGGAAGGTTGGGAACCACTGCTTTAGATGTTCTGGTGGTATAATAAGCTGTTTGCTGAGCTGCTAACCACAAGGTCTTATGGTTCAAGCCCACCAGCCACTCTGTGGGAGGAAAATGAGACATTCTCCTCCCATAAAGATTTAAAGTTCCAGAAACCCAAAAGGGGAGTTCTACCCTGTTCTATGCGATTATGATGAATGACAATCAACTTGTTAGTGGTGAGCTTTGCTTTTGAGAGGCGTTAGTTTTTCTTTTTCTTTTCTTTTTAAAATCATTTTATTAGGGGCTCATACAAGTCTTATCACAATCCATACATACATCAATTGTGTAAAGCACATTTGTACATTCATTGCCCTCATCATTCTCAAAACATTTGCACTCCACTTAAGCCCCTGGCATTAGCTCCTCATTTTCCTCCTCCCTCCGTACTCCCCACTCCCTCATGAACCCTTGATCATTTATAAATTATTATTTTGTCATATCTTACACAGTCCGCCATCCTCCTTCACCCACTTTTCTGTTGACGGTCCCACGGGGCGGAGGTTATATGTAGAGCCTTGTAATCGGTTCCCCCTTTCCACCCCACCCTCCCTCCGCGAGGCTTTAGTTTTTCATTATTGATTTTAACCTCAGAAGCCAACAATAACCATGTGACTATATCTATTGCAGGTGGAAATGAGTTCTCAACAGTTTCCTCGTTTAGGAACCCCTTCCACTGGGTTGAGCCAAGCTCCTTCACAGATTTCAAACAGTGGTTCTTCAGGATTGATAAACCAATCTGCTACAGGTAAGATATGTCACATTCTAAATTGTTCGCTATGTTGAGTGTTGCTAGTTTTCCAATTAAAAAATTAGCAAATTTGGGTGAACTTAACAAAAAAGTAACCCAATCCAAAAATAGGCAAAGGACTTAGTTCTCCAAAGAAGACATTCACATGCCCAATAAGCACACAAACTGATGTTCAACATGATGAGCCATCAGGGAGCTACAAATCAGAACCACAGTATAGTAGCACTTCACCACGATTAGAATGGCAGGGATTAGAAAAACTGAAAACAACACTGCTGGCAAAGCTGAAGATACTGGAACCCTTGTTCATTTCTGGTGGAATGTAAAGTGCTGCAGCCACTGTTCAAAATTGGCATATGACCCAGCAACAATCCTACGTGTAAGTTGCTCTTGATTTACAGCACATTGGAATTAGGACAAATAACATTGAAATGATCTGGGTGTTTTGTTTGTTTCTATTTGGTACATCTTATTATAGTAATATATATTACAATGATACAATGAAAAATCTGATGTTTTTCTCATGTTCACTTGTAGATGTTTAATGGTATATATAAAAATACGTACAAAAGGCTGCAGGAATGACAACTTTTAAAAGGTATTTCACTTATGTCAGAACTGACTTGGGAACTGACTTGTTTGCAGGACATGGAGTTAGTAGTAGAACATTCCGGATGAAAGAATAATGGTACCACATAAGTAACATAATCAGTGTAATTAATTTACAAGTGTGGAAATTGTATTGGCAAGGTGTATATTTTCACTACAATAAACAAAGATACAATAAATTTGTTCTTTTTTTTGGTGGGTTTTTTTTTTTTCTTCCTTTTTTTTTTTAAATCATTTTATTAGGGGCTCATACACCTCTTATCACAATCCATACATACATCAATTGGGTAAAGCGCATTTGTACATTCATTGCCCTCGTCATTCTCAAAACATTTCCTCTCCACTTAAGCCCTCGGCATTAGGTCCTCATTTTCCCCCTCCCTCATGAGCCCTTGATAATTTATAAATTGTTATTTTGTCATATCTTTCCCTGTCCGATGTCTCCCTTCACCCACTTTTCAGTTGTCCGTTCTCCAGGGAGGAGGTCACATATAGTTCCTTGTAATCGGTTCCCTCCTTCCTACCCACTCTCCCTCTACCCTCCCATTATCGCCACTCACACCAATGGCCCTGTAGGGCTCATCTGCCCTGGATTCCCTGTCTTTCCAGTTCCTATCTGTACCAGTGTGCATCCTCTGGTCTAACCAGACTTGCAAGGTAGAATTCGTGTCATGATAGTGGGAGCGGGGAGGAAACATTTAGGAACTAGAGGAAAGTTGTATTTCTCATCGTTGCTACATCACACCCTGACTGGCTCACTTATGTCAGATCTGACTTGGGAACTGACTTGTTTGCAGGACATAGAGTTAGTAGTAGAACATTCCGGATGAGAGAATAATGGTACCACATAAGATAACATAATCAGTGTAATTAATTTGCAAGTGTGGAAATTGTATTGGCAAGGTATATATTTTCACTACAATAAACAAGGATACAATAAATTTGTTCTGGGGTTTTAGTAATACTATAATTTTAATTTAAGGAAAAATGGATTACAATTCTAAAATACAATAATATCCCAAACTCTGTAAATCCTATTAAAAATTTTTGAAGTACATACAATGGTTCATAATAACAAACATTACTTTGTAATATATATCAAAACATGCCCTTGTGAAATGGGCTACACTTGAACTGCTAACCACAAGGTCAGTGATTCAAACACACCAGTTGCTCGATGGGAGAAACATTAAACTTTCTATCCCCATAAAATCTTAGAAACCCAAAGGACCAGTTCTAATTTGTCCTATAGGATCATTGTGCGTCAGAATCGATTTTATTGCAGTGAGTGAGTATTATATTAAAGAATATTATGTTTTATTTAGACGTGCTTCTTTCTCTTTTTTGCATTAAAAGTACACTATAAATACTACATTTGACTGTCAATTATACCTAACTTCCTGACTTGGCATAAAATTTTGACTTAGAGACAGACTGAGGAATGGAACTTGTATATGTTCACACTATGTCCAATTCACATAACACCCTATTTCCCAGGATATATTATGGACGGAGCCCTGGTGGTATAGTGGGCTACACATTGAACTGCTTGCCGCAAGGTCAGTGGTTCAAACTCACCAGTTGCTCTTCGGGAGAAAGAATAACATTTCTATCCCAGTAAAGGTTCAAAGTCTTGGAAACCCACAAGAGCAGTTCTACACTGTCCTATAGGGCCGCTGTGAGTAAGAACTGACTTGATGGCAGTGAGAGTTTGGATCACAGACATTATGTGATACGTGTACACATATGAAGGGGCTTAAAAATTGTGGGAAAATATAGTTAAAAGATGGAATTACTCTATGAATTTTTAGGATTAAAAAATGAAATTTACCCCCCTGAACTTTTGACGCTTCCCCATACCCTTTGAATGCCATTATATCTGTGTTTTTTAAGAACAGTTTTGCCTTCTAGGGAATATTGGCAATGTGTAGGTACTTTTGATTGTCGCACTAAGTGATGTTACTCAATATAGCTAAGTACATGGAACAACCCCTAACAACCAGTAGGTATCCAGTTCAAAAGAATGAAGAATACTAAGGTTTCTGTCCCTTTAAATTCTTCCTTAAATAATGTCACCATAGCAATTCAAAAGATAGCCTCACAAAGTGTAATAAAGTATACTTTTTAGCTTCGTCTCTGGATCCAGGTATTCATTATCATGATAAATAGTACTAGCATTTGCTCATTGCTCAAACCAGGAACTCCAGCATCATCTTTTTTTTTTTTAATCAGTATATTGGGGGCTCGTACAACTCTTATCACACTCCATACATTCATCAGTTGTGTCAAGCACATTTGTACATTCGTTGCCCTCATCATTTTCAATATATTTGCTCTCTACTTGACACCTTGGTGTCAGCTCCTCATTTTCCCCCTCCCTCCCGCTCCCTCTTCTCTCATGAACCCTTGATCATTTATAAATTATTATTTTGTCATATCTTACAATATCCAATGTCTCCCTTCACCCACTTTTCTGTTGTCTGTCCCCCAGAGAGAGGTTATATATAGATCCTTATAATCGGTGCCCCCTCTCTACCCCACCTTCCTTCCACCCTCTGGTATCACCACTCTTACCACTGGTCTTGAAGGGATCATTTGTCCTGGATTCCCTGTGTTTCCGGTTCCTATCTGTACCAGTGTACATACTCTGGTCTAGCTGGATTTGTAAGGTAGAATTGGGATCATGATAGTGCGGGGGGAGGGGAAGCATTTAGGAACTAGAGGAAAGTTGTATGTGTCATTATTGTGACATTGCATGCTGACTGACTCATCTCCTCCCCGCGGCCCTTTTGTAAGGGGGTGTCCGTTACCTACAGATGGGCTTTGGGTCTCCACTCTGCACTCGAGCATCATCTTTACTTGTTCTTTCTTTCTCTTACCCCTGAGCTATGGGCTCTGCCTCATTTCCTGCTTCTTTGCTGCTCTCCCACCCATTTCCTTTCTTTTTAAAAGTTTAACTTTTGTTGCAAATTTATTTTTGCTTCCATTACGCTGAAGCTACTTTATACCTCTTCTCAATTGTGTATATGCATATTTGCTGAATGATGAAAAGTTCTCAATTTTTCTTGATCTCAAGATTTGCTATATTCTGTTACTTTGCCTCAGTCCCTCCTCCTCCTCCTCCACACTTACTTATCTGGCTATTTATTGATTTTGAGGTTTTAACTCACATCACTTTCTCTGGGAAACCCTTTCTGATGCCTTCCTATAGACTGAAGGTTGCTAGAGGTTCGGGACCATGTTTTCTCATGTTCCTTTCAATGTACTGCACTTAGTACAATGTAGGGAATGAAGTAGAAGTCAGTACATTTTTGTAGAGTGATATAAAGGTCATTTATAAATCATAAATATATATAAACTCATAAATGTTTTTTACAGTATTATTCTTTGGGATATATTCACAGCAGAATAATTTAAAGGCACATAGCCAAAGATATTTGTAGACACCTATTCTTTGCAAGGTATTATAATATATTCTTGATAAATTAGAGTGAATTAGAAATAATTGCTTCAAAACTTTGTTGGCTAAGTGAAAAGAAAATAATTAAATTAGATCAAAATTATCTGTGATTTTTATTTCTGAAAAGTATACATGTATATAGAAACTTAGTTCTTAACTTGCTTTTTAAGAAACAAAAGTTTTCTTAAGTAGTTAGAAATCTCTCTGCATTCTTTAAAAAAAATTTTTTTTTTAAACATTTTATTAGGGGCTCATACAACTGTTATCCCAATCCATACACATATCAATTGTGTAAAGCGCATTTGTACATTCATTTGTACATCATTTCTCAAAACATTTTCTCTCCACTTAAACCCCCGACATTAGGTCCTCATTTTTCCCCTCCCTCCCCTAAATATATTTTTTGTGAATTAGTTTAGGGTTTGTATATCAGGTCATCATTTAAATTATTCAACAATTTAAACAACTTTCAAGCCTCCCAATAGAGTCCTTGGTCCCTGCCTCACCCGATTCTAAAGTCTCTTCTCCGTCTTGTAGAATACTGTCTTTCCCTTGAGCTTAGCCAATGCTTGTCTACCCTCGAGCCTTCTGCTTCCCCATTGCTCCCCACCCCTCTTGTAACCATCAAAGACTGTTTCTTTGGGTATGAAAAACCTGTATCTTTTTTTTTTTTCTTTTAAAACAGTGGTCTCATATACCATTTTTCCTTTCGTGGTAGACTAACTTCACTCAGCATGATGTCCTCTAAGTCCATCCAAGTCATGAGGTGCTTTTCACAGTTTCATCGCTATTCTTTAAGCATGTGTAGTATTTTATTCTGTTAATCAGTTTTTCCACTGATGAGCACTCAGATTGTTTCCATCCTTTTGCTATTGTGAATGGGCTCTGATAAACATGGGTGTACATATAGTAATTTCTGGATCATAAT